GGAGTTCTCCATGCTGAGAATCGTTACCCCGAATGTGGGCTCTCAGGGTCCCCTTTTCACAGAGGGGAAACTGAGGCACAAAGTCGTTGCCCAAGACCACACAACTCAAAAGGGGCAGAAGCCAGAACTGGAACCTGGGCAGCAGGTCTCCAAGGCTGTGCCTTTAACCCCTCTTTCCTACTTGGGCCATTTCTCGATGTTTCTACCGGATTCTCGGGCCGTACCGGCGGCCAGGCACTTCATTCACTCACCCCTCATGTCCTGGCCGGCTCTGCTGTCCTTGGGTGAGGCGTGTGAGGTCAGCAGGTGTCCATGATTTCTCAGGCCTCAGACAGCCTGAGGGCCAGGCGTTCCTCACCCTTGACTTAATCACTCTGTGCCCTTGGGTGTCCAGCTGTGCTTCTCCCTGTGCCAAGTGCTAGGTCTGTGAGCAGGCAGGAAGGTCGCTGGCTGGGCCGGCGGCACAGGAGGAGGTAGACAGAGAGCCCGAGGCTGCCAACCTGCCGAGGTGGGACCAGCCGACTCTCACTTCCCGCCTGACAGGACTTGACCTTCAACAGCTTCGAACAGCTGTGCATCAACTATGCAAACGAGAACCTTCAGTACCTTTTCAACAAGATTGTCTTCCAGGAGGAGCAGGTGTGCAGGCCCCGAGCCCTCCCATCCCCATCCTGACGGGCCACCTTGGAGACAGATGGGGTGTGCTGGTTCCCAGAGGGAAATTCGAGGTGTTGGCAGACCAGTGGAGGAGGGCGTTTGTTCTAGGCTGTGGGACCAGCCCACGTGAAGGCGTGTGATCCAGAGGATAGTCACCTGGGGGGTGGGGGGGGTTCCTCCACACACTCTGCAGGGCTGTCCCAGGTGGACGGAGCAAAGGGGCCCCGAGATGGTTCCATTCTCCTGCTAGTGAGTGAGCTCCAGGTTCTAGGGGGCATGCAAGCTGAGGTGGCCTGACTAGGTTCCGCCTGATGTCTTCAGCACTGGATCATCAGGCTGGACGGTGGTTGTGGGCGGGCAGGCGGGACAGGGGGCTGAGTGGCTGCTGCTGCTGCTGGCTCCCTGCAGGAGGAGTACATCCGGGAGAAGATTGACTGGCAGGAGATCACCTTTGCCAACAACCAGCTCTGCATCAACCTCATCTCCCTGAAGCCCTACGGCATCCTGCGCATCCTCGATGATCAGTGCTGCTTCCCCCAGGTGCGCCTTCTCTCTGCTTGGGCACCCAGCCTGCCACTCAGCGCCCAGGGCATTGAGGCTGCAGTGCAGACGAGGGGCTGCACCAGCCTGGGAAGTCAGAGAAGGCTTCCTGGAGGAAATGACCTCGGGGGTGGACCTCAGATCCTGATCAGAAACCATGACAGCCACCAGGGTGGGCTGGGTGCTCTCCGCAGTGGGATTAGAGAAGGCAAGGGCAGCTGAACTGGACAGAGGCTGCCAAGGGCTGTCTCGAGAGTCTATCTGCAGGGGTCCACTTAGGCCCTAGGCTCACTTGCTCCCACCCTCCCTACAAAGGGTCACCTCAGGAAGGTGTGAGTTGCTCCTCCCTAATGCCTGCTGGGGCCCTCTCCAGCAGGCCAGGAGCAGGGAATTCCCCTTAAGTGCCTAGCCCCGCCCTCCACCCCCCACTGTCCTTTGCCTGCCCCAGGCCACAGACCACACGTTCCTGCAGAAATGCAACTACCACCATGGCGCCAACCCACTCTACTCCAAGCCCAAGATGCCATTGCCCGAGTTCACGGTCAAGCACTATGCAGGCAAGGTCACCTACCAGGTGAGACCCAAGAGGCCGCTCACTTGGCCTTCCAGCACCTCAGTTCTGTCTGTTGCATAGCATGGACCCCAGATACTAAGGTGTGAACTCTAGTTCAGGCCCTACCACTCCCTAGCGGTGTGACCTTGGACATATCCCTTAACCCATCTGGACCTCTCTTTCCTCATCTGGAAAAGAAAAATAATAGTGCCCTCTGGTTATGCATTGGTCTGCTAACCACAAGGTCAGCAGTTCAAAGCCACTAGGCACTCGGCAGGAAAAAGACAGGGCTTCCTATTCCTGTAAAGAGTTACAGTCTTAGAAACTCACGGGCAGTTAGTTCTACCCTGACCGATAGGGCCCCTTTGAGGTGGCATCAAATTTGGGTTTTCCCCCCTAATAAAAGCCTCTGGTGGGATTGATAGCGTGCTTGTTTTCCAGCGGTAGTGTCACCAAGGTCACGTCGTCCCTACGATCTGAAGTACATTCCTACCCTGGAGGCGTCTGAGGCCAGGGCTTCATTCTCCTCACCTAGAGAAGGGACACAGGGCAGAGTCCTCCACTGAGGGTGGGGCCGAGACGCAGACTAGTCATGGATGGGAATCCCTGGTTTATGCCCACTGGGAGTGGGCGGATGGGTGGGGAAGGGATCCTGCCAGTGGGGAAGATCCAGCCTCTTCTGGAACAGACAGGGAGACAGAGGCCCAGAGGGGTCTCCTCCCCCACCCCGTGAACCTCTGACCAACAAGAGGTTCAGAGGCCGGGAGGAAGCCAGCTGACACCAACTGGGGTGGAGGGTCCCCGAGGCTGCTTGCTTGGAGGTTGTGGTCTGAGCCCCTGCACTGCTATCCCCCCGTTGAGGTGCACAAGTTCCTGGATAAGAACCACGACCAGGTGCGACAGGATGTGCTCGACCTGTTTGTGAGGAGCCGGACACGGGTGAGCCCAGCCCCACCCCCACCCCCAGTCAGCCCCCTTCCCAAGATCCTACCACCTGGGGCTCCCAGGGCCCCGCTCCTCCTGGCTCCTCTTTCACCCAGGAAAATGGCCATGCACTCCAGCTCTGGCCCCCCAGCCCTGTACTAGCCAGCCTTGGCTCAGCCCTTTGCCATTTCTGCCTTCTGGCTGCCCTGTCCACCTTGCTGCAGCTCTGCTTTCTCACCCTCACCATCCTGTAGGGATTCTGTGAGGGCCCAGTCCAGGATGGCGTCCCGGCCCCTTGCCCCCTGACATGTGCCCTGAGGACAGCCCTCCACTCTTGGGGCCTCATGCCCCTCTGTTGGATGTGTGTCCCCCTGACCATGTGCACAACAGGACTGCCTCAGGACCAGGCATTCACTCAGTGCCAGGGCCCAGTCCCCCAGGGAAGGAGGGCAGGCAATGAAGCCAGGAGGCCTCAGACCCGGACATGTGGTGGGTCGGCCTTCAGGCCCCTGGTCTGGGGATCCCTTTATTGACAGCATTTCTCCCTCTGCGGCTGCCTTCCCTCCTGTCTGCTGCTCACCCCACTCTCCACCTGTGTCTCTGTGGCCTTGGGCTTTGACTCTGCCCCCTGCCCAGGTGGTGGCACACCTTTTTGCCAGCCATGCTCCACAGGCGGCCCCCCAGCGTGTGGGCAAGTGCAGCTCGGTCACCCGGCTCTACAAGGCACACACAGTAGCTGCCAAGTTCCAGCAGTCTCTGCTGGATCTGGTGGAAAAGATGGAGAGGTGGGTGTGGCTGGTGGGCCCCCCCCCCCACCCTGGTTCAGTGTGCCGTCAGCCAGGATGCTCCTTTTGCCGGGGTCTCACGCCGCTGCCTCCCACCCCTGCGCAGGTGTAGCCCCTTGTTTGTGCGCTGCCTGAAGCCCAACCATAAGAAGGTGGGTGATGACCCAGGTCCCAGGGAGCCAAGGCCCCTCCCAGGCTGGGTGACCACAGGCAGGGCATGGCCCACACTAGCCCTCCCTCTGACATGCATGCCCACAGGAGCCGGGCCTCTTTGAGCCCGAGGTGGTGATGAACCAGCTGCGCTACTCTGGGGTACTGGAGACCGTGCGTATCCGGAAGGAGGGCTTCCCTGTGCGACTGCCCTTCCAGGTGTTCATTGACAGGTACTTCCATCAGGGATCCCTGGGGGCCACGGCTCTACCTGGCCCCCATGCTCCTGGAGCACAGGCCAGGCAGAAGACGGGTTGGCACATGCTGGGCTCAGACGGTGCCCTGCCTGTGAACATCACCTGAGCTGTCCCTCGGCCAGCCATTGCTGTTCTGTGTTTTTAAAAGAATTTTGACTTTAAGGAGGTGGGTTTTTGCCAGTTGGTGATGACAAGTGTCCAGCAGAAAGTGCCTTGTCCTTCTGACGTCTGTGTGAGGCCAATTCTCCACACCGGGAAGAGTCTTGTGGACTGGGCATGTTTTCGTTGTTTTCTGATTGGGAGACTGGGTGGGGCTACAGCAGGAAGACCGGTAGGTCCTGTGGTCTCTCAGCAGCCAAGTGTGGTCTCTCTCTGCAGGTACCGCTGTCTAGTGGCCCTCAAACATAACCTGCCAGCAAGTGGGGACATGTGTGTTTCCGTGCTGAGCCGCCTGTGCGCTGTGATGCCAAACATGTACCGTGTCGGAGTCAGCAAGGTGACCCACCCCCCTTTCCTCCCTGGCAGTGCCCGAGCTAAGGCCTCCGGACCAGCTGGGTGGTGGGCAAGCTGATCCCACCTCTGGAGCTATGCCCATAGGTGCTCAGCTCCCACGGCCTGGCTCGCCGTCACCCTCTTTCCCAGCTCCAAACCCCAGAGACTATACAAGCTAATCTGTCTCCATGCACTTCTGCCTCCCACCCTACTCCCACCCTGCCCCCTGGCTCTCACCGGCCTGACTTTGGGCCTCCTGTCCCCAGCTGTTCCTTAAGGAGCACCTGTACCAGCTGCTGGAGAGCATGCGGGAGCGGGTCCTGCACGCGGCAGCCCTCACCCTGCAGCGCTGCCTCCGCGGCTTCTTCATCCAGCAACGGTTCCGCTCGCTGCGCTGCAAGATCATCCTGCTGCAGAGCCGGGCCCGTGGCTACTTGGCCAGGTGGGGCCCTAGAGCCGGGCATAGAAGGAGCTGGGCTGAAGTTAGGAAGTGAGCTCCCTGCCCCTGCAGGTATGCAGGTGGAGGCTTTCAAAGGCCAGATGACCAGATTCCCTGTGCCTCTGCTTTTGAATGCCCTTGTGACATTCCTTCAGCTGAAGGGTCCCGGACCTATTTCTCTCAGAACCCTGACGGAGATCCCAAACCCTAACCAAACTCACTGCTATCGCGTGGATTCCCGCACATAGAACTGCCCCTGTGGGTTTCCAAGACAGACTCTCTATGGGAGTAGAAAGCCTCAACGTGTTCCTTCAGAGCAGCTGGTGGTTTCAAACTGCTGACCGTGAACCCTACGCTCTTGGTTACCCGAGATCCCAATCCCTGGCCTCCCTGACACCCACAGGCAGCGCTATCAACAGATGAGGCGGAGCCTCGTGAAGTTCCGGTCTCTGGTACACACGTATATTAACCGCCGGCGCTACCTCAAGGTAGGAGCCTCCTCTTGCCCCTCAACCAGGAGCCAGGAGGGAGGCACAGCACCTAGCACCAGATGTTAAGCCCTCCCACGGCTTCCCTGGCCTCGGTTACCCCACCTAGCCCCCGGGGTTCTAGAGAGGCTTGAGAGACACACTGTGTTTCCCAGTGGAGTCTCCAGTAACCAGAAGTTATTAGACAAAGGTACTTCTGCCTCTGCCAGGGTGGGGGGAGGGCAGGCCAGTCACCAGGAGAGAAGACACCAGTTTGAGCTCCACAGCTCTGAGGCGCTGTCTAGCTTTCACTGAAGCCTCACGGCGTCATTCAGCCACCTCTAGAAACCTCCCGAGCTTTCCTCCCTCTTCCCTTGCCGCCCATATCTCCCCCGCTCTGTCTCTCCCTCACTGCTGTCTCTGAGGACACGTCACCTACCCTGCCCTGCCCAGAAAGTGGCACCGTGGCCACAGCCCCATGAGCAGGGCTCCAGCCAATAGGCCTGCAGCCCCTTCGCCCTTATCCCAGCCTCCCGTGAATGCTGGCCTGGGCCTGCCCAGCCTGGGGGGCTGCCATCGCCCCTCCCGCCATGCCTGCCTTGACCCCGTCTGCTCTCCTGCAGCTGAGGGCAGAGCAGAGGCACCAGGTGGAGGAGGTGTGGCTGCGGGAGCAGGAGGTGGGTGCATGGGCTGGGTGGTAGCAAGGGATGGGGTGGGGAGGCAGGCGGGTGAGGCTGTGGCAGGCCTGGCCCTGACCTGCATTCTCCCTCTAGGAGCTTAGAAAGCGGGAGGTGGTGGCCGTGGGGCACCTGGAGGTGCCCGCTGAGCTGGCTGGGCTCCTGCGAGCAGCAGCAGGTAGAGCAGCACTGCATGGGGAGGGCAGGCTGTGGACGGGGCAGGCTTGGCGTGGGTGGTCACCATCACCAGGCTCTGATCTCCTCTGCAGGGATCAGGCTGGCACCGGTGGGCCCCGTGCGGCCTCCTCGCCTGCAGGCTGAACCCCGAGTCACCTTGCCCCTGGACATCAACAACTACCCTATGGCCAAGTTTGTGCGGTGCCATTTCATGGTACGTGCTCTCGGGCACATGGGGCTCGGCTGGCGAGCACCAACCTGTCTGAGCTGATGTGGCCCTTACCCTGGGCCAACATCTCGGCAGCACCCTATGGTGTTAGAGGTGGTCCCTGGGTTGCTCCTCTGCACCCAGCTCACAGTAGAAGACTCCCTCTCGAGGAGCTTAGACGGCTGGGGAGCACAGCACCTCGCCCTGACTTCCTGCCCTCCAGGAAAAGGCCTGTCTCTACCACAGCCTTACGGAAGCCCCTCTCCAAGCCTCATTCTCCCTCTCCATACACTGGGGACAAGAGCCCCTGCCACACAGCCCTGCGTTTCCCCTTGGCTAAGAGTCATGGATCCAACTGTGCCTGCCCTGTGCCCCCAGGAACCTGCCTTTGGGATGCTGACAGTGCCCCTGCGGGCGCCTCTGACGTGGCTTCCGGCCGAGCACCACAGGGAAGCACTGAGCATCTTCAAGCTGGTACGGTGGCACCTTCACACCTCGAGTCCCAACCCTAGAGGCCATGCCACAGGGCCCCAGGCCTGCCCTCCACTACCCCAGTCCACGAGACCAGGACTTCTCTTTGGGAGAGAAAGTCTTAGGTCTTTAGTGTGGGGCTCTAGCCTCCTCTCTGGGCTACAGTGTGTGGGGGTTTTTTTTGTTTTTTTATATAAAGCTCCATTCTTTATTGTAATTAGGAGGTACAGGAAATGCAGGATTAAAGGCTGCCCATATCCCAATGAATATGGGAAATTGTAATATTATGTCCGGGATCACTCTTTTTTTTTTTTTTAAACATTTTATTAGGGGCTCATACAACTGTTATCCCAATCCATACACACATCAATTGTGTAAAGTGTATTTGTACATCATTTCTCAAAACATTTTCTCTCCATTTAAACCCCCGACATTAGGACCTCATTTTTCCCCTCCCTCCCCGCTCCCCCCTCCCACATGAGCCCTTGACAGTGTGTGGGTTTGTAGTCTTTACTCAGCTACCTTCCTGACCAAGAAAAGCTTGCCTCCTGGGAATGTGGAAATTAGGACGCAGGCCTCTCTCAAGGACTTCCAATCCGATGGCGAAGGCAGAGCAGACTCCTATAGATGGAGGTTAAACACAGAGGCTGGGGGTATCCAGACAAGACCCCAGGCCAGCCCTGAGCACATCAGACAGGGCTTCCTGGAAGAGGCGGCATTTACGTTAAAGTGAGGGGAGGAGTCAGAATTTTCCAGGCTGGAAGAGAGGAAAAGGCACACATAGAACAGGATGGAATCAAGTCAGGTGCATGAGGTGAGAGGGGTCAGTCCTGTGTTAGTCTGGGTAGACTAGAAAAACAATTTCAAGAAACTCATATGTGTATAAGAAAGAGGTATATATATATAAGAGACATTGAATATTGAGAAAACATCCCAGCCCAGTCCAGATCAAGTCCATAAGTCTGATATTACCCCATATGTCCAATACAAATCTATAAAGTCCTCTTCAGACTCATGAAACACATACAATGATGCTGAAGGCAGTAGGATCACAGGCCAGTGGGTTGGAAGTCTTGTGGATCCAGTGGTGTTGTAAGCATCTCAGCACTGGCAGGGGTCTCTATGTGGCTTCTCTGCCTCCAGAGGTCTGGTTGCATCAGAGTTGGTCCATGTGGCTTCTCCAGCTTCCAAGGCTTAACGCCATGTGTCTTGTCAGTAGAGCGTCTCTCAGGGAGTGAGCAGAGAGAGTGAGTCTCCAGTATCCAAGGAGGGAAAATGCAGGATTTCCCAGAATTCTCAGGAGAAGGCCATGCCCACACAGAGGCCTCATTGGTTATAACTTGATTAACAGGCCAGACTCTACCCCTTCACTCCTAATCCCCTCAAATTGACACCAAATTATATAACTACCACAGGTCTGCAAGGCCTTGATGAACAGACCAGAGCTCAGGTTTTATCCCAAGTTCACTAGGTGGCCTTGCAAAATGCTTGGCATGGCAGGGGTGTGGTCAGATCTGGATATTAGAAAGGACCTCCAGGGTCTGGCTGGAGCAGGTGGTGAAGGGCTAGCAGGAGGCTGGGGCTGCAGGGAGGGGCTTGCCCTGCAGGGGACCCAGAGAAGGTTCCTGAGCAGGCGAGAAACTCAATGGATGCTTTGTAGCCTGCCCTCCTCTGCAGATGGGCTAACCTGGTCATCTGGCGTGGAGTGTGGCAATGCCATTGTGCTTTGTAGGTGGCTTGATGTGGTTATGGGAACACAAGTGAAGGCCACACATGAGGGACAGGAGAAGGCCTCCTGTAGCTTGGGGGGAGGGGGAACCTGGCAGGAGCTCCTTTCCAGGGACTCAGAAGAATCTGTCTGTGTCCCAGGTCCTGCGCTTCATGGGCGACCCCCACCTGCACAGTGCCCAGGAGCGGGTCTTTGGGAACTACATTGTGCAGAAGGGGCTGGCCTCACCTGAGCTTCGTGATGAGATTCTGACACAACTGGCCAACCAGGTGTGGCACAACCCCAATACCCACAATGCCGAGCGCGGCTGGCTACTCCTGGCCACTTGCCTCAGCGGCTTCGCACCCTCCTCGCGCCTCAACAAGTACCTCCTCAAGTGAGTGGGTCCGGGTGGGGTCTAGACTGTGCAGGACAGTGACACTGGCAGGAGAGGTCAGGTCAGGAGTAAGGTCCCTGTGCTTGGAAACTCGGGCCTGGCTGCAGGCCTGGGCTTCTCTCCGCCCCCCACTGGACATGGAGCCAAAAAGAAGGGGAAGGGTACTGCCATGTCATAGGAGTATAGCAGAGTAGTTAAGAACATGGACGCTGCACTCAGACAGTGTGAGTTCAAATTCCAGGTCAGCCCCGTAGGAGCTGTGCTGCCCAGGACAGATTACTTACCCTCTCTAGGCCTCAACACCCTTGTTCCACAGTGATGAAAGTGCAGAATCGACAAGCCTTACCAACTCTGAGGAGTAGATATATAAACCCAAGAAGCTCGTAGAACAGACCTGGTACTGTGTGAGGGCATGGGCTGCCACCGCCACCTTCACCACCATTGGTTACTGGGTCACCCTTTGGTGAGATGCATGAGTTACGAGGAAGGCATCTCAGACAGGCCACAGGTACAAACCCCAGCTGTGTACGTTTACTCACCTGTAAATTAAGGACGTGAGGTGGCCCGGGGCGAGCTACTGCCGTTCTCTGTGCACAGCTCCTCACCTGTAAATTGGGGGGGTGAGGCGTGGTTAGTATGCTGAGCCTCCCTGGGGGAGTCTGGTGATTTTGGTGGCAGCTGCGATCAGCAGAGTAGAGACCACCTGCCTGCCAGTCCCTGGTCTTCCTGTGGGCATGGATCCCTGGCCAGGCCTGGCTGCAGGTGGGAAGGAAGCAGAGGTTCAGGCCCAGCTCTGGCTCCCCAGTTCGAGGTTCAGAGCTGAGCCCTTACAGCTTGGCTCAGGAGGACAGGTGACCCAGCCAGAGCTGCCTGGTGGAATTATGGAGAGCAGAGGTGCAGGCCCAGGTGACTGTGGCTCCAGAGTCCAGCTCCTGCCCACCCCCAGTTGCAGACCCCACCCCAGCCATGACATTTGCTTCCAACAAGCTTAGGTGGGCCCACTTGCCTCCTCTTTGGCCTGTCCTTGGACCTCTGTGCTGGCCTGGCAGTCTGGGTTAGCTTGGGGAGCTTTCAGCCTACCCTTGATGCTCAGGGCTATCCGGTAACACTACAGCCTAGTTTCTGACCTAGCTTGAGATCCTAGTGAATTAGGCCAGAGTTCTTACAGCTGCACCTGATAGCTTTAGGCTAGCCTGCCGCTCCCCGCC